TTCTATAATTTTATTAAATATATTTTCTGGACCGTTGAGCTGTACTTCTCCTTCTTCTATTCCTATTATTCTTAGATTTGGTCTTTTTATTGTGTCCCAGATTTACTGAATGTTTTGTGATAAGAGTTTGTTGGACTTGCTGTTTTCTTTGATCAGTGTGTTTATTTTCTCTATGGTATCTTCAGAATCTGAGATTCTTTCTTCTATCTCTTATATTCTGTTGGTTATACTTGTTTCTGTAGTTTCTGTTTGTTTCCATGTCCAGCCGACTCTCTGTGTTTTCTTCTTTGCCTCCATTTTAGTTTTCAAGTCTTGAACTGTTTCCATTATCTGTTTGATTGTTTTTCCTTGGTTTTCTAGGGTATCATTCACTGATTTATTCAATTCTTCAAACTTTCTGTTATATTTCTCATCCATTTCTATAAGGGTGTTCTTTACTTGCTGTTTAAGGGCGTCAATCACTTTCATAAAGTCAATTTTTTCTACTTCTTCTTGATTAAGGTGTTCATGTCCTCCTGTTGTGAGGTCCCTGGTTTCTGGTGGTTTCATGTTGCTTTTCAGATTGTTGGGTGAATTCTTGCATTGGCGCCTGCCCATCTCTTCCTCCAAATGCTCCCCTATGGATCTTCTTTAACAGGATCAGGTCTCCTTGCCTACTGATGTACCTTCCCAGTGATGGCTCTCCCCAGCGATAGCTCTCCTGGTGCCGAGATCAGATCTCCGTGCCCAATGATGGCTCTCCCCAATGCTGGCTCTCCTGGAGCTGAGATCAGGTCTCCGTGCTGGTTGGGTAGCTCGTAAACAAAGCGCCTAGCTTGCTTGGTACAGGCAGGCTATTGAAACAAAGGAACCCCGCCCTTGGGTGCCTGCTCCGGGAATTCTAAGAATGTGTGAGCGTGAAATGAAAGCCTGTTTCAGTGCCTGTTGTCGGAATCAGGATCACACACATTCCTAGTCAATCCAATGTTTGTCAAATAAAGAATAGCCCCCGTTTAATGTAGAAAATGTCTTCTACACATACACCCACACATCCTACTCTGATCTGAAGCTGGTGTAACAAGGGCCACTTGGATACACAGCCATGTTAGCAAGCAAAGCAAGCCAGACTGGAGAGCGGTACCCCTGTCTATAGCTGGAGAAATGTGAAACTACTGATGTGGTTCAGAAGTTACAGCGACCCTTATTTCTGGAAACTTCTTACAGGGTGTGTGCCTCTCTCTCTCTCTCTCTCTCTCTCTCTCTCTCTCTCTCTCTCTCTCTCTCTCTCTCTTTCTCGACAGGGTTTCTCTGTGTAGACCTGACTGTCCTGGAACTCACTGATGTCCACCTGCCTCTGCTTTGTCAGAAGACACGGAGAGAAGTTTGTTACATAGAGAACAAAGGACAGGCAAGCTCTTCAGGAGGGCGTGCATGAGAGCTTCTTTACCGGACTCCATCCGCCTGAGGCTTGGACATGTGGCTCCATTTAGTCTGATTGACCATATCCACTTTGATAAGCTCCTTCTCTGGTGTCCTCCTCAGTCAGGCCATAGTGGACATGGTCTAGTTTAACTAATCCCACAGTCGAGGAGAAAGTCTTCAATAACTATGATTCGAATTCAAAAACAGAAAATGGAAATAAACTAACAAAAGTAGCTTCTGGCCACATCTGAGTAATGGGGGCTAGAACTGGAAACTGGTGGACAAGACAGGACGGAGTTTATTACTAAATTCTGCTTTTTTTCTGCTCTCTGAACAACGGCTAGCCTTTCGATGCACCGACTGCACCAGCAATTCTGAAATCAGAATTTGGTTCACGATGTCTGGCATAATAAACGTGTTTAAACCTTCCAGTCTGTAAACCCTGCTGCATTTGGACAGTCGGTTGTCTGGGAAGTCAGAGGGAAATCTGTCTGGCTCATAAGTGTATTTCCTGGCAAACCAGATTAAAACCATTCCAAAGTCTGGTCCTCTCCTTCCATCCAGGTCATCGGGCTTGTCTCTGAGACTCACCTCTAACTTCATCCCTTCTTCATGCATACGGGAGGTAAGCACACACACACTAAGGCCCCAGAGTCTTGCCTTCTTCCTGACCACTGTGGATAACGTGTTAATTGAAAGGCTAGCAGGTGTACAGCTGCACGACTTAGGTTTTTGGGAAGTTTCCTCTGCAGAATGAAGAACAATGGTACAGACAAAGAATGACGGGGAATTGGGCTAGCTGAACTCGGTAGAGTCTCTGGAGGGGGCGTGGTCTCTGGAGGGGCGTGGTCTCAGGCTGTAAGTAGGCAGAAGGAGCTGTGGGAAGGAGCTGTGGATTGATCTGTTCTGCAACATCTGAGCTCCAGCCACGGAAAGTGTTAGTTATTCCTCTGAGCCTGGCTCAAGGAAGTCATTGCCGTGACTCCCGTGAGTCTGAGGCATTAGGGTCCATGCTCACCGCAACAAGACACTTCACTCGGGACTGCTGCATCTGATCCTCACAATAGTGTATCTGTGTTGTGTGGCAAACAAAAGGCAAAGCTTGAATAGTACAGGATGGGGGTTGGAGAGCTGGCATAAGGGTTAAGTGTACTTATTGATCCTGGCAAGCAGTGTTTCTCAGCCTCCTGACGCTGCGACCCTTTAATACAGCTCCCAACCATAAAATTATTGTCATAACTGTAATTTTGCTACTGTTATGAATCATCACGTAAATGAAGAGTCTCTGTCATGATGGCTCTGATGAGCATTTGCCTCTGACCGGATGTGTGGTGACACCCAGGACATGAGAGTTCACAGACTCCACAGGAACTTAAAGAGATCAGGGGAACACAAGGCCATGACACAGTACTTCAGCTGATACCTCTTTATTATAAGGAACATACAGAAAATCTTTCAATTAAGGAGAGTAAAAAATCTTGGTGACCTACTATCTTTTTTGATATAGCATTTTAAAAATCTTAGTAGCCACAAACCATAATTAATATCAAACAACTCGTATCTTTTAATTTGTTGGCATGTAATTTCCAAATTCTTTTTTAAATTTTTTTATTTATTATGCATACACTACTCTGTCTGCATGTCTGCCTGTGGGTCAGAAGAAGAGGCACCAGACCTCATTACAGACGGTTGTGAGCCATCATGTGGTTGCTGGGAATTGAACTCAGAACCTCTGGAAGAGCAGCCAGTGCTCTAAACCTCTGAGCCATCTCTCCAGCCCTCAGTTGGATTTTTATCTGAGAATTTCCAATGTTTTCATGGTCTTCAAAATCTTTAACTCTAAAAGTCTGAATAACGTAGCAGAATAGGCATGGGGTAGGGGGTTAGGGCACTGGAATGAGACAGATTAAACTAAGAAGGCACTTTGTGACAGTTGTAATACTGTCTAAATACATGTGATGCAAGCGTCAGAGGATACTCTGGGAGTCAGGCTGTGAGGAGAGGTTTCCCTCCTCTCCATTCAATACAATGGGATATATAGGGTATACATGGGTATACGGCATGAGCAATGGGAACAAAGCCCGAGGCCTTCGATGCATCCCTCATTGCTATTGTCACTTCCTCCAAGGCCAACTGCAGTTACTAGCTGTAGCAGCTGCAGGGTGGCATCTATCTATCTGTCAAAGTGCACCGGGACCTCTGGGTTACCCTCGCAGGCAATGACAACCCGCCTGGTGCTGACACTGGCCCTGTATCTGCAGTTGGGAGCCCTAGAGCTCCCTGTCTCTCTGCAGTCTGTGACCTTCAGTACACCCTCGTGACAGTTCATCTGGCCATTCTTGCACTGGATACTGGCAGTACTGCAGATGCTACGAATGTTCCAGATGTCTTCGTGGATGAAGGTGTTGAAGCGTTTGCAATGATGAGAAGTCATCTTCCGTCTCTGCATCATCAGGTTGCAGTAGCTGTCACTGCCTCCGGTCTGCTGAGAGTCAACATGCTGCCACAGGAACCGCTGGTACATTCGATCCTGTCCATAGGAGGGCTGCACGAGCTCTAGCCCCAGCAAGGCCAGGACCAAGAGCAGAAGCAAGGACTGGGTCCTGGGCAGAGCCATCACGACCTAGAAAGGGCCTGAGAAGAAAGCAAAGACAGAAGGAAAGAGGGTAAAGACTGGGCACTGACCTACTGAGAACGGCAAAGTAAAATCTCTGAGCATCTGGGCAGAACAAGCTTGGCTAAATGAGTTAAAAAAAAAAAAAAACCGGAGGCTGTGAAGCTGGGTAGGCAGATGATGGGGGGACCTGGGAGAGCTCGGAGAGGACAGTGAAAAGGACCAAAGCACCTGTGTGAAATTCTAAAGACTTAATACAAATAGACAGGAACGGCTTAAGGAAGGGCTATCGGATGCTGCCATCTGGTGGTCAGTCCTCAGATTGACTTGCAGGTTGACTCAAAGGAGCAAACAAAGTGGACAGTTTTTTTCAGAGTCAAGCAGACTTCACAATGCAGGTACAGACCAAGAGCCGTGTCTTTCAGAGCTGGTTTGAGGTACACATGTGTACTTCATCCTACCTGAAGCCTCTGCTTTGCTACGTGATAACTACCAGTATGAAATGCAAGTGTTACTCTTTAACACCCCCCACGTTCACAGCCTGTGCCCTGCTTCCGTGCCTCCAGGTATGGATTTGAGATAGCGTTGCTGCAGTTATTAGCAGCCCTGGAGGTCATTGAGGATGGCCCCCTCGCTCATGTTTGGCCTGGCACCCTACTTCCTGTTTCCCTGATTCCACTAGAAAGGTGAACCTCTGCTTGGCACTCACTGGGCCTCCCAGTCAAAATAGTGAACTATCTCCTCTAGGTAGAATAGATATTCTGCTCCAAAGATTAGAACACAGCACGTGTTCTCTCCCCGCCGTCAGAGACCATCCTTCAGAAAGGCTGATTCACCTGGGAGCACACCCAGGGGATGGGCGGGCTCATGATTCCTTCAATGAGACAGAACAGTTAACCTTTCCAGGAGGGTAACTGCTTCACTCAGGCTGCTTTTTGAAATTCTCTGTGTGAAACCATGATTCTGGTTCGGTTAGAGTCGAGGTTTCTAAGAGAATTAAGGGACTTCATCAGGTGGCTGAGGGTAAGAGCATGAGGTTTGCCTGCCCCTCGGCGCTGACATTCTCATAGTGGTTTGTGCTTGGGGGTGTGTACGAGAAGGGAGGAGAGGTGGGGAGTATGCCTTCCCCCAAGGGCTCCTGTAGTGACTATTAGTTAACAGACAACTCTTTTGAGAACTCCCATCTGCCTTGTCTGTAAACAATTATCATCCTCACTGCCACAGAAAGATGAAGTCCCTCCTCCCACTGATGGGCAGATAAAGAAGAACATCTCTGTTTCTGTCCCTCCCCTCGAGAGCCGCTGAGTAGAAAAATTAGGAAACACTAAATTTCCTAGGAACTCGTGACTCTTCCAGACAGATTCTTAATGGCTTTAGAGACATCTTTATTTCTGTGCGTCGTAAATCAGGAGACACAAGTTTCAGATAGTTTGTGTTCTGACAGTGACCGTTGCCATCAGTGTTCTGGAATAAAGAGGGGATTAAAAGAATGTAGAACCAACTCTGTGCAGGGGCCTGCTGGCTACTGTCTGATGACAGACTCGTCTAAGTGGACAGGCAAGCCATTTTCACAGGCAACAACAATGCGTCTGGACCCTCTGGAGGCTCGGTACCGGCACGGAGGCCGGGTATTCCCTCCTCTATGCTTGCAGTTGGTGACCTGGAATTGAGAGGTGCTTATTCTGAAGTCATTTCCGTAGGGCTCTCCATCTTTTCCGCAGATAGCCTTGATGCTGTCCTTGCTGCCATGAACAAAAGTGTTGAAGTCCTTGCAGGGAGAGGTCAGGCCTCGCTTCCTCATGGCGCTTTCACAATATCTGTCGTCACGGCCACTTGGATTGGCATCATAGTGCTGAGTAAGGAACTTTTTATACCTGGGGTCATTCTGAGCCAGAGCTGGTGGGGTCACAACCAGACCCAGCATGAAGACCAGCAACAGGGGGCCCAGACTCACTGTCATCTCTTCCAACAGAGATTCCTGCCAAGAACAAAAAGTAGCAATGGAGGGGTCATGGCACCACATTCCAATTTAGGCTAAAAGGGTGGAGACATTTCTCTGTGATAGGACATTATAAATCAGCTGTCCCCAGGCATCGAATTCCATCTTTGCGTTCCCCTTCCTAGTTGGCTCCATGATCTATCTCCTCCTCTTTCTTTTAGGATCACCATCAGTCATAGCATAATTGAAAATGTTTATATCCTTAGCCACTCATTACTTAACTGACAACAAACATCACTCAGCTCCCTGTGGGCCCCAGAAACATGCTAGATCCTGGGACACAAAGACGTGAAGATGTATCAAGGACAGGGGCAGCGGTGTCGTCCCAGCTACTTAGGAAACCAAGGCAGGAGGATTGCTAAAGCCCTGGAGTTCCGTGCTAGCTTGGCCAACACAAATGACTCTGGGGGGGGGGGAGGCACTGAGCACAGGGACAGCCAATGCCCCAAGGGCACTAAGATGGCTTCCAGGCATTCAGGTGTGAAGAAAGCTGTTGAGAGCAGCCGCCTTGATGTGAGGGGGCAGGTCTACTTCTCCCAGAGGGCAGAGTTCCTGTGCTATGCGCAGGAAGAATGGACCAGCGTGCAGCCCTTGTAGAAGATCTGGAAGCAATGTCTGCAGAGCGGGAACAACACAAGCTCGTGCTCCAGACTGCCTCACTTCAGCGTCGTTCGGAAGATTTGCGAGAATAGGTGCTAGTCTCCCGTGTCTGTAATAGTGTCACACGGGCACGTGATCTTACAGTGTGGCAAAATAAAACATAAAAAACCAAACTGGGATCTCTTCATGAAGCCAAAGGGCTCACAGTCTGCTGTAAGATCTCTCTGAAAAGGACAGAGGAGAGCGCTGCCATGGTCTCTGGAGAGCTCTCAGCTCACCCCGTACCACACACACCATCACAAACCACACACCTTAGAGCCAAAGGCACCTTCTGCTGGAGCTTGGCCCCCTTATGGAGTTTTAAAAGATGTTATTTCTAATGTAATTTGAAATTCTGAGAACCAAGAGGTATTAGGTGTTTGTGGCAAGCAGTTTTTGATAATACCTGTAAGTCTTTGAAGAAGAATGTAAAGATAATCCTGAGACCTAACAACCCTCCTCACAGTAGGGCTGCAGAGATGGCTCAGCAGTGAAGAGTGCATCCTGCTCTCCCAGATGACCTGAGTCGGTTCCCAACACTCACACTGAACAGCAGCTCACACCTACCTGCAACTCCAGCTCCCAGGGATCTAATGTTTCTGGCCTCTGTGGGCACATACACTCTTTTACTGATACTTGCCCACAGACACGCAAGCATACACTTAAAATAATAAAAATAAATCTTTTTAAAAAGCTCTGTAAGAGCCGGGCAGTGTGGCGCACGCCTTTAATCCCAGCACTAAGGAGGCGGCAGACGGATCTCTGTGAGTTCGAGGCCAGCCTGGTCTATCTACAAAGTGAGTTCCAGGACAGCCAGGATTGTTTAACAGAGAAAACCTGTCTCGAAAAAACAAAAACAAAAAATGAAAACAGCAGTATAAAGAGAAAGTAGTTCAGTCATAAATGCTGGGCTTGAGGATGCTGTGACAGGAAACTTAAGGATCCTCGAGACCCAGCCCAGTGACTGCTGAGCTTCAGGTCCCAGGAAACATGGTCTGAAGGAACATGGGCACAGATGTGCACCTCACCACAGAACCATGATAGACAGCCGTGGGGCTCACCACATTTGACAACAAGAACAAAGTTCTGAGTTTTTTTTCTTGGATACAGGGTCTTGCCATGTAGTCCAGGTTGACTTCAAACTCTTGATCAAAAACTACCATGTCGAGTTAATGTAGTTCTGGGGAGATGGAGGCAGGAGAATTGGAAGTTCAAGGTCATCTTTGGCCCCATAGTCGGCTCGAGGACAGCCTGGGATATTCAAGACCTTGTCTGTAAATAAATATAAAGACTGTTGCATCTTTCGGCCTGAAGAAATGTGTTGTTGAAGGAGAAGATCAGCCCCAGGTAAAAGGTTTTTTGTTTTTGTTTTTTTTTTTCTTTCCCTAAAGTGTGGTGCATTTTCAGGGGCGTTAAGTTAATCATTAGTGGGCTGGAGAGATGGCTCAGCGGTTAAGAGCACTGCCTGCTCTTCCAAAGGTCCTGAGTTCAATTCCTAGCAACCACATGGTGGCTCACAACCGTCTGTAATGAGGTTTACTGTCCTCTTCTGGCCTGCAGATATACACACAGACAGAATATTGTATACGTAATAAATAAGTATTTCTTAAAAAAGTTAATCATTAGCTTTATTTTGTGTTTCTCTCACGTGTAAACCTCAACACTTTTACCGTGTGTGTGTGTGTGTGTGTGTGTGTGTGTGTGTGTGTGTGAAGGCGAGGTCCTGGCACTCAGCTTGTATGTAGTCTGTTCCTCGTGCAGGGTCCGGGAAGATAGCAAGACTCTAGGTCAGGGGGGTCTAAGACCCTACTGAGAATGTGCGAGACAGGTGATGGAGCGGGGGGAAATGAACTGTCTTTCTAATTAGCACCTGACGCTAACCAACCCTGTGCGTTTCATGATGACCGCAGAAAAACTCGGTGTACGGCTAAAGAACACCACATTTCACAGTATCGAAATAGCATGCACATTATAATGTGCTACAGAATCAAATGCGAGTGGGTCTTGTTCATTGAGAAAAGATGGTGCCGGGTGCAGAAGGGACAACTACCCTGAAGAATAACCAGTGTTTACGCGCTGCTGCTGCTCTAGCGGAGCTGCCAGCTGAGGGACACGGGCTTGCTGAGCTCTTCGCATTGGTATTGGGGTTATCTTTCCTGGGTGTGGGTTGTTTATTCCCCGAGAAATTAGAAAGAGTTGTGTGTGGTGCTGCATGCATGCCTGCAATCATAGAACAGGCACGGGGACTCTCCTGGCTGCCTAGTGAGATCCATGCAGACCTAAACACACGTAGTAACAAGAGCTGCAATACTTGAACGACTCAGCAGGTGGCAGTCGTGGATAGGGATGCTGCCATTCGGCAACCACGGTCAGCCTGTACTG